GATGATGCTGCTGGCGAGCGAGCGAGCGAGCGGGCGAACGAACGAGCGAATAGAGCGAGTTGCTCGTGGACAGGAACACCACTGTATTCTCCGCTTCACCCTTTGCCACCAATCCCCGACCCCGTCGCTGCCGCCGCTCCTTCGTTACTTCCCGCTTCCTCTCCTCGCTCGTCGATCCCCGCGTTTATCCGTCACTCTCGAACTCTCCGATATTCCGATATCGCGTGCCGCCGCCCCTTGCCGCCCCTCGTGGCGTCTTCACCCGCGAATTAGTCGCCATCGTCCATTAACCCCTTAACTGGAAATACCTACCGCTGTAACTCGCACTGGCCGCCCCGCCCGCTCCTCCTCCTCCTCAGCCTCGGCTCAGGCTCTTTTCCTCGCAACATTCCCGCTTGGAACACGATCCGCGTAGCGGACATCACAGCGTATTCCCGCGACGATGACTCTCAGCTTTTCCAGCTTTGTAGATCGTCGGGGGAGATACGCTTGTGGAAATTCAGGATACACAAGGTTGCTCGTTATTGCGAAAGAGATTGGATCGGGCCTGAGATCTTGACGTTTTAAGTTCATCGCATATTCGCTCCCGCCACGGCGAAACAGTCCATCATACTCTCGGTCGAGTGGCTTTTTTTAACGTCGCTGCTCCCCCCCCCCTGGCCCCCAGGAAGGACCTGACCCTTTCAACGAAGGGTAATTCGTGACCTTTTGCCGCGCGAGCGGAAGAAGTTTATCGCGTTCATCTCTCGCTCGGGCCTCCGTAATTCTCCCGCTCTGCGGCGCTGAATTTAATTAACGGTTCGTTCGTGTTTGCCTGCGCGAGGAATCCGCAGGCGGATGCAGGTCGTCGCGAGAGACGCGACCACCACCGCCCTGCGTCGCTCTTCCGTTCGCGCGGATATTGTGCGATCAATGTCGATCGGAGGAGGAGAGGTGCTGCAATCGCCAGTTCTCTCTCCGGGAGAGAGACGCGAGTACTTTTCGCTCGTTTGAGTCGAGCGAACGTTCGAAAGTATACACGCGGTGACGCTCGGCGTCGCGAAACCTCAGAGCCGATCCTCTGTTTTCACGCCCGTCTGCGCGCCGCATTATCGCGGACGCGAGCGAGCGCGCGCGCCACTGTGCTCACACACACACTTGCGAAAAGATTTTATATATATATATATATATATCTCGCCAACGTTCCTTGCTTTCATTCGTTCGCGGAAAGAAGTAAAGAGCTTTGTCGCCGCGGCATCAAAAGCTTGAATAACGCGACGATGAAAGAAGGAAGTATCGGTACAAGAAACTGCACAGTGAATACTGAAAAGAATGTTGTCGCGAGGAGGACGGCGGATGAGGGGATGAAAGAGTTAAGAAAGAGAGAGAGAGAGAGAGAGAGAGAGCGAGTTACATCGCGCAAAAAAAGAAGGAGGGACAGACAAAAAGAAAGGCAGAAAGAGAGCGAAGAGGGCTGCAAGGCGTTTGTGGGAGGGAAAAGAGGAACGAAGAGGAGAGATACTATCTCTCTATCTCTCTCTCTCTCTCTCTCTCTCTCTCTCTTTCTCTTCTTCCCTCCGCGGGCGGCGGCGCAGGGGGTGGGGGAAAACCTTTTGAGGGAAAGTGATGAGCATTTCTGTGGGAGATCTAATACGCGAGCGTCGGGACGGAGGTAGACATCGGCGGGGAAATTAAAATGTCTTATAAATTAGCGGCGTGTTCCGTCGCGAGCGGCGAGAGAGGAGGGGGAGGGGGGGAGGGCGGCGGTCGCGGAAGTTCCAGCGCGGCGGGATTAATTTTTACGATTCCGCCCGTCGCTGAAAGCGCAACGCTTCGTTGCGCGGCCCGAATTCGCGGCAGGGCGCCGGGGAATCGCGTTGGAGTGCAACGACAAACGGCGAACAAAGCGGCGATCCTTTGTAATGAGCAACCGAGCGCATTCGGCGGGATTGCGCGCCCTGGCAAGCGTCCCTCCGCGTCGGATACGTTTACGTACACGTCTGATCGCCGTGGCGCTCTATCTGTCGTCGGCGCCCGGCGCTCGCGAAAAGGGAGGAGGCGTTTCAGTACGTCCGAGCGCCGTACGAAAGCGGTGGACGAAACAATGTGGCTTTTGTGAGGGAAAGAAACGGGCGAAGCCCGGCTGAAGAGAAAAGCTAAGAGCGATTGAAATACGCGCGCTCGCGTGTCCGCCCTTCTTCTCCCTTACCCTCTGCAGCCGTTCCATTCCCACCTCCTCCCCCCCTCCCCCCCGCCCAGTCGGACCACCTCGCCGTCGTTGCTTACATTTCGCGTCTCTTACATTTCACGTCGCAATAAACGAAATGCACGCGCGTATGCGCGCGCGAACGCGCTATCAAAAGACTCGCGTGACTCGGGGCGAACAAAGATGGCCGCGTGATTCCTGCGACGGGCCTCAGCCTGCCCCCGTTGCAACTTTTTTTTTTTTTCCGAAAGCTGTCCGCTTATCGAGCGCTTTTCACCGAGTCAAGTTCGCAGATTTATCGGCTTGAACTTGAAGATCGTCGTTCAACGCGGAAGACCAACGGAAGCCGCGGCGAAAGACGGCCAGGCAGGGGGGTGAGGGGCGGGGGTAAGGGCGAAAGAATGAGAAAGTAACGACGGGGGCGAGGAGAGGTGGACAGAGGGTGGCGCAGCGGCGTGTCGGCAATCGAGGGGTGTCGTAGGTATGTGCCGGAGGAGTGAGTATTGGTAGACGCGGATGGGTGGTAAGGAGGGACGCGGCTGAGGGCCGAAGGGGGTCGAGGGGGGCATGCAGGGAGGCGGTATGGGTGGTTGCAGGTTGGTAGTCAAGACTGCCTTCAGATTTCCAGAGTGAAGCATTGTGTTCCGAAGGCGCATTGTCCTCCCGTCGGCGGGAACTCGACAATGCCGAGTCCGTAAGTTAGTAACCCTACCGTAAAAACTTATCTCCGCCCCCGTACCACCGACCTCCAGCCTCCGTGATTCCGTTCGATTTCCAACCTCCCGTTCTAGCCCCCGTCCCCTCCGCCCCCGTACCCCCTCACCATTGGCGCGCACTCTTGGTCTCTGGGCCCCGGCGTTCCAGAAGATGTGTATCCCTACTCTCCTCCTCCTCCTCCTCCTTCTCCTCCTCCTCTCATCTCTCTTCCTCGTTCTTTTCTCTCTCTCTCTCTCTCTCTCTCTCTCTCTCTCTCTCTCTCTCTCTCTCTCTCTCTCTCTCGTTCGCTGCAGGTTACGGCAGAACAATTCCGCGCCGCGATTCTGACGTCTTCCTTCTTGCGGAATCAAGCCAACCGTCGCGTAGCGAATTCGATCCTCTCGCTTAAGGAAGAGTATCCCGGGCTCGTCGGCCTTCGACGACGCGCTCGATGTCTATTCGACATTGCGCGATATATCTTACGGTATCTCGGTTAATTGCGCAAGCATGGCAATGGTATCTTCGACGTTACGCGCTAATTATAGTTGAGGAATAGTCGCGCGCTTGTGTCTGAAGGCGGCGCGTCGTGGTGGCCGTACTACGTCTTCTCTCTTACGAGTAAGGTCGGCAAAGTGTTAATTGTATCGACGATTCGCGAGTATCGCGGGGGTGGCGACGCGGGCGGCGGCGGCGGCGGCGGCGGCGGCGGCAACGGCGGCGGCAGCGACGACGGCGACGACGGCTGAGCACAATGGAACACGGCGACGCGCGATTCCGAGAGTCGGAAGTGAACGTTCCGGGGAGCGGATACAAACATCAGGGGTTGGCGGGTGGTCCGTTCTCTTCCCTTCTCCCTCTCCGCCGCGCTGGAACTCAAGTTGCCGGCCGGCCGGCCGGCCGGTCGGCCGGACAGTGCGCGGTTGCCGGACAAAGCTCCTCTAATTGTCCCCATCAGCGACGAAGAATGGACCGCGGGCCTGCCTCTGACAATTTCATTTGTAATTTGCATAAGGCTTATTAAAATCACAATGAACGAGGATGGCGGCGATGACCGGCGACGACGACGGCGATGACGACGGAGCGGCGGCGACGGCGGCGGCGGCGGCGACGACGACGACGATTCGTAATCTTTTTCAAAATCGCACCTCTATCTCCCCTCTCGCGAGGAGGATATAATAGCGTCGTGAGAGACGTTAATTGCCGCTTGGCGCGATATTAACGCTCTTTCACGGGGAATCTTTCTTGTGCGGCGCCATTCGTGTAATTGAGATTACCTTTGGTATCGAAGGATCAAGAGGGAAGTCGGTATAAATTGTGGGAGAACAACGATCTGAATAGGGAAAGATTATAATATCTTGACCGCAATATATATATATAGTTTTTTATTTTTTCGCAGCAACATTATTGTTCGAAAATAAATTGGTTATCAATAAATGCATAGTGAAAGGATGTGTAAGAGGACAAGTTTGATTAAAAGTATTTTAATATGCGGAAAGATTCACAAACACTGCAGATTTTGTTCCGCGTCATTTAAAATGTGTATTAATTATTTAAATATTTCTATTATATATCTAAATATATTTTTTTATCTTGATATTTTTTTTATTACTCTGAGGTTTATAAGAAGTAAATGTAATGAAAAAGGGAATTTCCGTATATTATCAATTTTTAATAGTTGCATTTGAAATTATGTTATTGTATACTTAACCTTGCAATTATTAACCTTTGTTAATTATTAACATTGCAGAATTATATGAAACGAGCTTGACTTATCCTTATTTCATTATTAATTTATTATTTTTTATTAATCATGTTTCCTCAGTTGTATTTTGGAAATGTATTTTTGAAAATTACGTGTTTGAAGATAAAAGTCGATCGATACCTGTGTTACATTGCATAAAACAATTTTACACTTCCATGATATAATTTAAAATTAACACACTAAATACCTTGCGATTGTCTCTTGTTGATTATTATCTTACCTTTGTTGAATTCCTATGGGCTAATGAGTAAATATTTTTAGTGCAAAATGTCCGTGCGGAAACCGAGTTTCTAGAGACCCGCCATTCAGGAGCGTTATGTTAGCCAACTTGAGAATCCCACTGGTGGCAACACTGATCTGTACCGTCTCTTCACGTCTGCTTGCGTCTACAGTGTACATTTGACAATGGCGAATGTTTTCTTTTCACCTCGCGCGTACTGCAAAATTATTCTACACGCAGCGAAGTATCCACATTGTGCAATAAATGGCTTACTGCTCGGTAAACAAAAGACCAAGGATGGCAGAGCGGATTTGTACATCGAGGACGCGATACCTTTATTCCACATATGTCTACATGTTTCCCCAATGGCGGAAATAGCGCTTACCTTGGTAAATATTTGAAGAGCATTGTATTATCGTAGTACAATATCCCGTCACAAATTGCACAAATTATCGTGACATCTCGAGTGCATGCAGTTTGACGCGTCTAAAGTAAACAATCAATACGCGATGTTACAGTGCGGATGTCCTAACCTATAGCATGTATATTTCAATAGCTTTCGAGTTTTCAAGTTCAGAACGCTGCGATAACAGCGGTGATAGTAATATTACGATATTCAAATATTGATTCACTCAATGTTACAGGTGGACCAGTTAGCTGTAAGCAAAGGCCTTATACTAGCGGGTTATTATCTAGCCAATGAGAACATTAACGATTTAAGGTATTCATATTTTACTATTAATACTCTTTTTGTCTATGTTACATTTAATATGAATTCACCCATTTGTTTTCCGTACAGTACAGACAGACCAGCCCACAGAATAGCAGATAAGATCGCAGAGAACTTTAATAATGCACTACTTGTTGTTGTAAGTTTATTGATTATTGCATTAATGTATTCCGCGCATATGTTGTTGTAGACTTTGAGTAAGTGTTTCTTGTTGTTAGGTGGATAATCGAGAAGTCACTTTAAGTATGCAATCTAGTCCACTGAGAATTTCACAATCTATCGATGGAAAGTGGAAACCAAAGGATAAGGCAAAGTAATTATGTTTATGAAATCTTAGGATCCTATTCTTGAAGAGGCTCAGCCTTAAGAATTCTATCTTAAAAATAAGCTTTCGAAGTATTATAGAATTTTTCGCTCGGGCACTACATGTTACTTATTTTGTTACAGTATAATTTATGAAAGAGACGTCGCATACACAGACGTGATGTATTCGTTGCTGAAAGAGGAGCAGTACAGAAGTTTGGTTGATTTTGACAACCATCTGGATAACATCAGACTTGACTGGCAAAATCAGAAACTTAATGAAGTTATTGAGGAGGCCGTCGATAACTACAAATAAAAAGAGACAGTACAAGCATTCCACAAGAACAACAACAACACGAAGATTGTTTATTTACATGTTACGTTGCACTCTATGTGTATTTCCTTCACCGTAGGCAAAGTAACAAATGTACATACGTTATGAACTTTATAAACACCTATCGTCTGTTTCTAATTTTCCAGAATTTTGCTTCTGCAGTTTCCACTTTCTCACGATTAAACTTTAGATTGTTATCTTCAGTAAACAAGATGCTCAAATTCCGCAATTTTGTCCGCTTGACAATTGCACTTTATTGAAATACATCCTCATGTTCGAACACGGCCTGAATAATTACTATGGTAGCTCTTGCGTTCAGTACGCGGCAGCCAATCGGTTCGCGTTACGAAACTTCGTCACTAGACGAGCGAGAGCCCGATTGGCGACAAAGTCCACGTCATCCCCTGATACCGTCCCCAGCGCCGTTCCGTAGCGTCCGCTCTATGAAAACTCCTCGTCGTTGGCGGTGCGCGATTGGTCGCGTCGTCGCGCGCGTGACATTCGAAATCGAAGTACGAGAAATTAGAACGCGGCTTTTACGCGGTCACGCGGCGTACGTTCGCGCCGTATCACGCACGTGCAGGCACGAGTACGACGAGCGTCACGCGTTACGCGATCCGCGTGATAACGAGGGCAAAAATTACAGGTGGTAACGAGCCGCACGGAGGATGGGGCGTGCCCCGGTCCAGAATATGGGTAAACAGGACTGATGATGTCACGAGCGTCGATCTTGTATTCCTACGCCACGACCGGAGTAAGACGAGTACAGTACGCGGATGAGAATGCGATCGTTCGAGGGAGATGCGAGATCTCGCATCTCGAGTCCGTTTCTTCGAATGAAATATATATTTTAATTGCCACGGCACGGCCACGGTACATATAAAGTACACACGATGAAGTAACTCTCGTCGTCCTCGTCACAGAATTAAATTAAACCCGCATACACTTTCATCCGCAGATTCGTCCTTGCGATGTCCAGCTCTGGCAAAATAAGAGTCTAGCTGAACAAGATAATCCCGAATTAAGGAGAGAGAGAGAGAGAGAGAGAGAGAGAGAGAGAGAGAGAGAGAGAGAGAGAGAGAGAGAGGGTGAGTGTGCATAAATTCACAACGCAAACATTTGGCGGTCTTTATTGAAGAAGATTCCGTCCGTCCGAATCAAGGCTGTCGTCTTCGATACAACCGTACGGCCTCGTCTGCGAATGCGATGTTTTCGCAGGTGCATCGAAATATATCCAGCGGCAGAATCCACGACGAAACGGCGATTTCCGCAGATCGCATGGCGATCCGGTACGAAATCGTCGTACGCGCTCGTCGCTTTTTTTTCCCGATTTTCCGCGTCGCTTCGCCGCGGTGGCGCTTTTCGCACAGGAGGGACTAAGCCGCGGCGGCGTAGGTCGGCGCCGTGCGCGCTCAGTCGGTTGCGCGCCGGTCGAGTGTGTGGACGGACGGTCGGGCTCGGTGTTGGATCGTTATTGGTGGGTTTTTTGGTGTATACCGGGCGAGGGACTTTTATGCGAGTTGCTGAGGCGGGACGGTGAGCCGCGGGGTGTCCTTACGTGAGGGTAAGTACCCGCCAAGTGTCGTTGTCAAGTGAAAAACCGCGAGCCGACGCGAGTAGCGTGAGATCGCCACCGCCACCGTCGTCGTGCTCGTCGTCGTCGTCGCCGCCGTCGCCGCCGCTGCTGCTGCCGCCGTCGTCGCCGCCGCCACCGCCGCCGCCGCCGCCGCCGCCGCTGCCGTCGTGACGGGTGAATGTGTCGTGGTAAAAATGGCGTGCGCCGTCTTAGCTTCCCTCATACAGCGCACGAGCCGACGGGCCGGGAAACCGCCGGTGCATCCTCCGGTGCGCCGACCGGGTGTCGCGGCTCGTAACGGTTCATAACGATCGCGTCCGCACGAGTCGTCCGTGTCGCGTCATGACGCGGCGGCGCGCCGTCGTGTCGCCCTCGGCGAGATCCGCGCTCGGGCTCTGCCGGCATCGATTGCCGCCGCCGATTGGCGCCGCTGCCGCTACCGTTGTCCGGCGAACGTGCCCCGCTCTCTGTGTATTCGGATATTCGCCGACCTCGGTCCCGTCGTCGTCGCGCCATCGTGAACCGCAGCTCCCCTTATCTCTCACGGTGCCGCACCTGCGACCGTGTTATCGCCCCGAGCGGCGGAGGGTACTCTCGCCAATATCGGCGCCCAAGGCGTCGTCGTCGTCGTCATCGTCGTCGTCGTCGTCGTCGTCGTCGGGCTCTTTCGACCTCGTCCCCCTCGCGTCTCTCGATCGACGACGACTCGATGACGACGACTCGACCTGCCCCCATCGTCGTCATCTTCGGTCAACTTTAATTTCCGCCGCGATGTGCCCCTTTCTCCCCCTCCGCCGCGTCGTCCGATCGCTCGGCCGCCCCCTCCGTTCCCCGCCAGCGGTTTTGTTCACCTGTCAAGACGACCTATCTGCCCGCCGGTGACCCAATTCCCGGCGCTTCCATTGAACGCTGCCGCTGCCGCTGCCGCGGAGCGTACATCGAGCGTAACTAACTACTCGGCCGCGTATCGGCGAGGAGTCGCCGTCGTCAGCGCTGATTTGCGCTTTTCGAGCAAGTTTACAGCGGCGGAGTCGTGTCCGGAATTTACGCGCTCGTGTGTACAGGACGACGGCGACGGCGATAGAACTCCGCGTCGACGTAAGGGCCACGTAAGGAAATCGCGCTCTCGGTAAGCCGCCAGCCGTTCGGCGTGTTGGTTTAATTTTAAATTGATGTCAATGGGCGTGGAGGGCGAATCGAGCGAGGAGATCCCGTGCTCTTCGATCGGCGAGCACTAGATAAACTCGTTCTCGTATCTACTCTCTCTCCCTCCCTCCCTCTCTCTCCCTCCCTCTCTCTCTCTCTCTCTCTCTCTCTCTCTCTCTCTCGCGCGCGCGCGCGCTCGTTCACGATCTCATCGCGGCTCGTCCCGAAAACGTCCCGTGCGCGCGGCTAAACGAGATTTCGCCGGACGCTGCTCGTCGCAGGATTGAATAACTGGAAGTCGGCTCTTTGAATGGTGATCTTCCTTCTCTTCCCCCTCCTCCTCCTCCTTCTCCTCCTCTTCGTCTCTTCGCTTGTCCCTTCGGACGCTTCAGATTCCCGTCGATGTGGACGCGCGATGCGAATGTGTCGGACGCGCGTCGCGCGAGCCATTAAAGCAACCAAGGCTGGTTATGTAAGGATCATCATTCAAGGACCATCTCCGGCGAGTCGAGTCGCGCGGGATGAGCCTCGCGAACTGGACCGAACTGGCTCCAGCCTCCAAATGCTCTCGGCCCTCGTTAGAATCCCGGTGGTGCCGCTGCTCACGACGATCCATGCGCGTCCTTGTGACGAATAATTCAGGCGATCAGGACACGAGAGCCTGGCATGACCTCGCGGAAGCAGCCGAGTTTCCCCGACTTGACCGGTCAACTTCCGGCGACCTCAGCTACGTGCTCGATTCGCACGTAGCTTTTTCGAGGGCCGCGCTAACGCATTCTCGGCGGAAGTGAGTCGTGCGTGCGCTCGTGCTCGTGTGTGTGTGTGTGTGTGTGTGTGTGTGTGTGTGTGTGTGTGTGTATGTGTGTATGAGTGTGAGTCAGTGCGTACGTGCGGATGCAGGGGAGAAAAAGCGTGTGCATCGTTTACGTGATGGACGCTATTCCGGGAGTACACGTAACGACGCCGTTAACCTTTCGAGAGAGGGCAAAGTGCCTCTCGGCCTCTCTCTCTGTCTCTCTCCTCTCTCTCTCTCTCTCTCTCTGCTTTTCGCGCGGCGAGCGCAGGCTCGGCTGAAACATTTCGGAGTCCTTTCCGCCGACGACTCAGCAAGTGATTCGAGTAATTGCAACAACGATGCCGGCTGTAACTTGTAGGCCCACAATGTGCGTTCGATCTTACGCACGTACGCACGGAAGGCGTGGTCTCGCTCGAGAAACGAACTACTTGGCGGCTTGTAATGAGCGGCCAACACGCGCCACGGCTCTCCGTTCAATCGCTCTTTTATTATGCTCGAGCGTTGGCAGCCGCTTACTCCGTCGATTACGAACGATTTCGTCACGGCGCCGAATACAGAGCTGAGTCATTATCGCGAATCGAGCCGGCTAAATGCTACAAAACGCGCTAAGGCCGGCGATTGAAGTGGCGGCTCTCGACAATGCCGCCGCGCTCGATAGCCCGTCTCGTCAGGGTCCTCGATCGCGCGAAATAAATGACGGTGACGACTAACTCGGGAAGGAGCCGAATTTCCGGCCGCAATGCGCGCATTTCCGCGGTCGGGAAATCGCGCGGGGTCGCTGATGTCGCGGACGTCTTTCAGAGACGCGCTTGTGATTCCCCGAATAGTGATGTTCGCTTCGTTCTCCGCCTGAATCGTCCGTGGTTTCTCCCCGGAAGTTCGGCGAAGATTTAATTCGCACGGAGAGTCCACTTAGCGCCTCCGAACGGCAGAATAAAACGTACAGAAATTCGCCGCTTTTAGGTCCCCGAGAGAACCTCTCGGCAAAGTTGCAGCTACAGTCGAGAGAAATGAAGAGTGAAATGATAGGCTAAATATATATTGAATAGGGTACACCTCGCCGATCTTTTTTTCATTTTGAAATATGTTATAAAGGATGAAATTCTGAGTGACTTTTCCTAATACAATTATATGAGGGTCGCTTATAATTTCTGAGACATTTGACTTTAAAGTTTTATAATTGTATGTTGAAGTATATTTGAAGTAGACAAGCAGTTTTCATTCACTTTAAATATAGGAAACAGTACATATAAGCGGGAGAGGGGCTCCGCCCCTCCCCCGCACCCCCTCTCCAAACAAATCCTAACCTAACCTAACTTATTGCATCTTTATATATTTTTGGACATTGTTGAAAAAAGTTCTCTTAAGATCGATCACCTGGCTCAACTTAACTTATAATATCTGCATATAATTAGGTGTTGTGGCTTTTAAAGAGATCCTGTCAACATCGCCCAACAATATATAAAGATGCAATAAGTTAGGTCAGATTAGGATTTTTTTTGGGGAGGGGATGCGGGGGAGGGGCGGAGGCCCTCTCCCGCTTATATGTACTGTTTCCTATATTTCTATGTTATACACTATGTTTGGATTAACTGTTTGGATTGTACTTGTAAATAACGTCAGCTTGTGATATCTGGAATTTAATTCCAGGATAATCAAAATTCCAAAACTTTAAAATCAAATATCTCGGAAACTATAAGCGATCCCCATA